ACACCCCTACCACACGGTGTCCTTATCACACAGATCATGCAATATTGTGGAGTTCATGTTGATGCCGATGCCAGCACTCATATTGGGACCCGACATCATTTTTCAATTAATTCTTTGAAGAAGTTGAATATTGTTAATGTCAACGGTGTTTGGCAACACGATGTCGGTGATGATGAAGAAGAAGATCAACCAGACCATCATGACAACCCTGTGCAATCTCCTCCATCTCTTTCTAATCCTAATATGATGACTCAAATGTGGGAAGGGGTACAAGACTTGCAACACAGAATGCAGGGTATGGAACAAATGCAGGTGCGGGTTCAACGTATTGAAGATAACTTGGCAAACCTTTCCCTCGACATGAACCGCCAATTTGCTCACCTCAATCAGAATGTTAACTTGATTCTTCACCATTTAGATGACTAAGTTCATTTTTATTCCAATAATGTATTACATGACTTTTTTTTTGTTAAATTGACTTATGTATTTGAAATATTACCTTAGCTATTTTTGAATGTTATTATCTTTCACATCAGCTATGCTAGTTTTATTTATTGTCGACCTGTTGATCTGCAAATTAGATGGACTCTCCAATCATTGATGAACTGCAAAAACAAATTAATCAATCAAGAAGACTATGTGCTACTCTTCAACGACATACACAGGCCATGGAGCGTCGAATATCCCTGGTAAATGCTAGGATTCAATCATCTAATCCAACTACAGAAGAAATTGAAAACTTATTACGAACTATGAACATTGAAGATCAAAATTTATTCAGACACTGCTTCGACTTTTTATCTGCGCATCCATCCCATACAAGACGTCTAATAGGGATGCCAATACAATATCGTTTCAATGCAATGCAACGATACCTTACTGAAGCAACATCATCATGAACTATTACTAATATATTTGTATGTTTAAATGTTGCCACTTTTTTTTAGGTCATGTAATATTATAACTTCGTTTAATTATTTGTTTGTTTAAAAGTAATCATTCTCACTTCCGTAACAAATAAATTGATACTATTTAGTAGTAAATTATATTACAAACAAATACTACATTCAAAAAAAAATTCATTTTAATACATTATAATTTTTATAATTTTTAAAAATTAATTTTAAAAATTATTTATAATTTTTGTCTCTTTATAAACATTTTTACAATTAAATATAACATTAATAAAAAATATTTTATATTACTTTAATAACTAGGGGCCTTTTGGTAATCTTTAATTTCTACCAATCAAACTAATTTTTTAAATCTATCACATCAATCAAATCCTACACTAATTCTCTCAAACTTTACTTCCAAATCCACTCTCAATTACCCACAAATCCACTCAAAAATACAACTACAAAATTACCCTCAAATCCACTCAAATCCATTCAAATCATCTCCCCCAAATACACCCAAAAGAACAAAGCCTAAATGATAAAACTTTGACTCAAAAAGTAATCTCAACAAGTATCAATTTCATCACCATTTTATAGTTAATGATAGTTAATTTTTGTGTCCAAATATTAAAATTTAAATTACTTCATTTAAATAAATATTTAAAAATGAAAAAATATAAAAAATAAATACCATTCAAATTAAATCCATTTGTTTTTTTTTCAGAAAAATAGTGAAATTGTTGAAGCTATGATTATTGATTCGTGTATAGAACAACTAAGGGGACTAATTCTTAACCCTTTTAAAATTTCGTCAAATGAATAATATCAAATAGTTTTTTTTTTCTCTTTTCTTTTGTAGGAAATTCCTCTATACTGGTCCACCATTCTATGTACAGATATCTTCACTTATATTGTACAGGTGTCAATGAGTGGTTTGCCCAATCCACCAGATATCTTCATATTTTTTAAATTCTAGGAGAATTTTTGAGCGACCCAAATGAAAAGATATTAGTTAAGGAAAAAGAACTATTATGAACATTTTCACTATATACGTTAAAATGTACTAACTCGCTACTTTAAGTTCGACAACTTAACCTGTTTAAAAAAAATTTGAGTTGAATTGACGGTTAATTGAAAATAAATTAAAATTTATAATGTCAAAGTTTTTATACTGTCGTACTGATCCACCAGTTTTAATTTTTTTTAGTCATCAAATTTAATATACATAAAAGTAGACTATTGAGCTACAGAATATTTGAAATTTTAGACTGTATTAATGAAGTTTGTTAATATAAAATATTGCAGCCTAAATTTTAATATTTTTTAATTATACCAAATCATTAAGCTAATTTAACTTAATTTACTTACTCGTCAATCGAATTATCGGACTTGACGAACCGAATTAGTCAAATTAACCTATAATTTTTTTACCGTGTAGGCTGACTCACGAGGTTGTCCTTTTTCTCATCGTTAAGGCCTTGTTCACTTGAATGGATTTGGGGAAGAGTAATTGAGAGAATTTGAGAGAATTTGAAGATAAACTTTTTTTGTTGTTTATTTGAGTGAATTTAGAAATAAATAAAAATGAATTTAGAATAAATCTTTTTAATCTGTCACGTCAATCAAATTCTACATTAATTTTTACAAACTTTGGCATGCTCATTGAATAATTAAATGTATAAGACTATATCAGTATATTAACGGAAATAACAAATACGTAAAAGAAAATGTGGCTCTCGTAGGACCACACGGCCCCTTCTCCAATTTCCCTTTCTCAAAATATAATTCCTCATTTTTTTTTTCAAAATTAATATTATCCGTCTCCCCACAAATAATTATTATCTTTCAAAAATAAAAAGCAACAAGATACCACAAAAGGAAAAGGGAAAAGTACAGAAAAATTCCGGTGATAGATGTTACATCTATACAAACAAAATTATATATATATATATTGCTTAAAATTATCTTATTTTTAAAAAATATTAGTATGAGTATTTATATAATTCTAAATATACGAATTGTACTGTATATAGTCATCCAATCTAGTACTGAACAATTCACACAGTTAAGAATATCAAGACTATCACCTAAAAAACCAAGTGATTGTACATATAGATCAAATGATTATCTTTAAACAACTATTAGACTTAATGAAAATTAATTTATAGATCATCAGTAATCTAAAATTCATTCTAAAATTTACGAAATAATTTTAAAGTAAAAAGATAAATAATTATATTTATTATGTATCAATTATTAAACTATCTTTACTGATTTTGACCATCTTTTTGTAAATAATCTTAAAATTAAATCAACCAGTTTAAAAAACAAATAATAACAAAATTGAACATTAAGACACAAAACATAGAAACCTGTAACTAAAACACGAATTTTAATAAATAAAAAAAATCACGTGTATTCCAACACTATTTTTCAAGTTTTATTATGTAGAATAATATTAGTTCAAATGCTTTGAATACCAAATTAAATTCATTCTTATTTTTAGATTGTATACGAGAGTCGTCTTTTACTATTCCTAGTAACTCTTTTTTATTTGAAAAAACAAAAACCACTCTAACACACTTTATATATCACACTAATTTTTTAATTATTTTAAAATGTTAAATAGTATATTCATTTGTACAAGAGATATTGTTAAAATATTAAGTGTAATTACTAAAAAAAGGCACATATTTCACACCAATCACACGGAAACCGAAATTATGATTATTACTATTTTATTATTAAGGATCATACGAAGACAAGGATATGGATAGGTTTTAATATAATCACCATGTATTTAAAAAAAGAAAAAAAAAGAATGAAGAGGTTCAAATATATGGCATCTCAGAAATAGACTTGTAGTGGGACCCACGTGCGGATCAAGGTTATCCTCGAAACCAACTTGATGTGGGACCCATCAGTTCCATTCAGATTGGTATGCATGAATAGGACTTGATAAAGCATGACGTGGCCTTTCAGTTACACCATATAAACTCTTGTGATCCTCTATTATTTACAGTTAATTTCCTCTTTTTTCACTTAAATCAATTCCATCCTCAACGTATATATCAATCTATCTGCAAATACTTGCCTTTCAGATGGATAAGTTAATAAATTTTCATTACGGTAAAATATTAATGTTTTTTCTATTTAATTAGTTAAGTAAAGAAGATAAACATGTAGCTGATTAACAATATATTCGTCCCTTATTCGTGTTAAATAATAAAGAAGGATGAGAGATGCGTGCATGTGTGTTTTTTATGCTTTGACAACTAAACCAACCAAAACGGAAGATATTATTACACTCGTGAAATGCATGGCTTAATTACTTAAAAATGAAAAAAAAAATGTAGTTAGATAAAATTAAGCATAGGCTGGGGGACCAAATAACGAGAAAATACGTATTGTTTTGTTTGCTTTCTTTGAGCATTGGAACTCTTTCAAAATCTTTTGAAGATATGGAATGCAAATATTGTTACGTAACTTACGGTGTGTGTTACACATATGTACTATGTACACGGATGAATTTGTGACTAAATAATTATTTGTTTGGGCAGATGAGTAATTCTCTTTGTCACATCTAATTCCCATTCCAAACAGTTATGGGACATTTTGTGAAGCCATTATAGAAAAATCTTCATTTTATTTAAGTCAAAAAGGCTAATCCTTTAGGTGTGCCCTCTGCTAACCCTTTTATTTTTGGCAAACTCTTTGTATTAAGATTTCAAAATTATCAAGTCATATTCGTAGATGATAACAAGTGTTTGACTTCAAGATGCATCTCACCACCAATTTTTCAATTGTTGAGTTGCGTATCTAAGTATCTTGTCCAAAAAAAACATTAAACACACTTATAATTAGAGGTGTTAAAATAATTATGTTCATTTTACACTTTAGCCCCAAATGCAGTTTCGACCTTACGCTAAAATAATTGGTGTTATAAATTTACAATGTAGTATTATATGTTTCAATAATTTACCCTCATAAATTCGATTAGTATCGATAGAATGATTGAAGTAAATGATACGAAGTACGCAAGTGAGGGAACACGATGGCGCAGTGAGAAAAATCCCTATAAATAAGGGACAAATGTCACCACGAATAGGCTTGAAGGCGCTTCTCCAAACTTCAAAGCACCTTCGTTCTTACCATCTTCTCTCTTCGTCTTTTTTCCACTTTATTCCCCACACACTACAAATATGTTCAGATCAGCTCAAACCGCTTCAAAACCTTCCAAATCCACCATCAAATTCCTCTGCAGTTACGGTGGCAGAATCCTCCCTCGTTACCCTGACGGCAAGCTCCGCTACCTCGGAGGCCACACCCGCGTCCTCGCCGTCGACCGCTCTATTACCTTCTCCGGTCAGTTCTCTCTCTCTCAGTTGCAGTCTCACTCACTCAGTCTATTTTCCGTTCACCAAAACCTTATACTTCAAACGACGATCTCGTTTGCGTTTCATGATAAATAACCATAATCGCTTGTTTTGCAGAGCTGCTGCTGAAGCTGGAAGAGCTCTGCGGTGCCTCCGTGAGGCACCTCCGCTGCCAATTACCCTCCGAAGACCTCGACGCTCTTATCTCCATCACCTCCGACGAAGATCTCGCCAATCTCATCGAGGAATACGACCGCGTTTCATCGCTCAAGATCAGAGCCTTCCTCTCGCCGCCCACGCCGTCGAGATCTCCGAACAACGCTTCCATTCCTCCCTCGAAGTCGGCTTCATTATCTTCCTCCTCAGCCTCATCGTCGTCGTCATCTTCGTCGTATTGCAGCCTTACCGGCAAATCTGGTCGGAGTTACAGAACCTCGGCGACGGTGGTCGACCGTTGCGTCCATCAGATGTCGCCGGCTCCGGCGTACCGGACCGCAGTGGACAAATCCAAACCATCCGGGAGGAATATTCCTCTCCCGCGCTACGGTTACCACGGGAGCGGTGGCCAGGTTTACCTGATCCACCACGGAAACCACTGGCAATAACATTAAGGTGTGGTTTGGAAAGAATATTGAAATGGATGGACTAAGATAACGAAGCAGGTGCTATTTTAAAATGAAAATGATAAAAAAGGACTTTTACAATGATATAGAATATAATTAAACGAAGATAAAAAAGAAGACGAAGGAGAATGAAACGGGGAAAGGAAAGGAAAGAGTCCTGTATATGTGTGATGTAAAGTTGGACTGTAAAAATCGCTGGCAAGGGTTGCGGTTTTAGCTTGTGATCCTTGATTGCCCATTAATGAATTTCACTCCAATTTCGTGTTTCGTTTCGCTCCGTTTTTCTAATGATGGTGAGTTCGTTGGTCCTTTTCTTTTTCCGTGTTTCCTTTTTTTCGTTTTCTGGGTTCATTTCATCAAATTCTTCTAATTTATTTGTTCTGTGATTTCATTAAGGACCCATTAATCTGTGTTCACTTTCTCTATGGTCTTACGCTCAATCTGTGTCGTTACTAACTTTTTGGCTTGATTTCAATTGTTTTTACAGATTTTAATTTTTTACCTTATTATGAGAGTATGATTTTGTATTGATTAATGCTTTAACATTTCTGTTTGCAGGTTTAACTGAAGATTGGAAGAAAATCTTACTACACAGTTAAGAATATCAAGACTATCACCTAAAAAACCAAGTGATTGTACATATAGATCAAATGATTATCTTTAAACAACTATTAGACTTAATGAAAATTAATTTATAGATCATCAGTAATCTAAAATTCATTCTAAAATTTACGAAATAATTTTAAAGTAAAAAGATAAATAATTATATTTATTATGTATCAATTATTAAACTATCTTTACTGATTTTGACCATCTTTTTGTAAATAATCTTAAAATTAAATCAACCAGTTTAAAAAACAAATAATAACAAAATTGAACATTAAGACACAAAACATAGAAACCTGTAACTAAAACACGAATTTTAATAAATAAAAAAAATCACGTGTATTCCAACACTATTTTTCAAGTTTTATTATGTAGAATAATATTAGTTCAAATGCTTTGAATACCAAATTAAATTCATTCTTATTTTTAGATTGTATACGAGAGTCGTCTTTTACTATTCCTAGTAACTCTTTTTTATTTGAAAAAACAAAAACCACTCTAACACACTTTATATATCACACTAATTTTTTAATTATTTTAAAATGTTAAATAGTATATTCATTTGTACAAGAGATATTGTTAAAATATTAAGTGTAATTACTAAAAAAAGGCACATATTTCACACCAATCACACGGAAACCGAAATTATGATTATTACTATTTTATTATTAAGGATCATACGAAGACAAGGATATGGATAGGTTTTAATATAATCACCATGTATTTAAAAAAAGAAAAAAAAAGAATGAAGAGGTTCAAATATATGGCATCTCAGAAATAGACTTGTAGTGGGACCCACGTGCGGATCAAGGTTATCCTCGAAACCAACTTGATGTGGGACCCATCAGTTCCATTCAGATTGGTATGCATGAATAGGACTTGATAAAGCATGACGTGGCCTTTCAGTTACACCATATAAACTCTTGTGATCCTCTATTATTTACAGTTAATTTCCTCTTTTTTCACTTAAATCAATTCCATCCTCAACGTATATATCAATCTATCTGCAAATTTTTTTTTTTGTTAAATTGACTTATGTATTTGAAATATTACCTTAGCTATTTTTGAATGTTATTATCTTTCACATCAGCTATGCTAGTTTTATTTATTGTCGACCTGTTGATCTGCAAATTAGATGGACTCTCCAATCATTGATGAACTGCAAAAACAAATTAATCAATCAAGAAGACTATGTGCTACTCTTCAACGACATACACAGGCCATGGAGCGTCGAATATCCCTGGTAAATGCTAGGATTCAATCATCTAATCCAACTACAGAAGAAATTGAAAACTTATTACGAACTATGAACATTGAAGATCAAAATTTATTCAGACACTGCTTCGACTTTTTATCTGCGCATCCATCCCATACAAGACGTCTAATAGGGATGCCAATACAATATCGTTTCAATGCAATGCAACGATACCTTACTGAAGCAACATCATCATGAACTATTACTAATATATTTGTATGTTTAAATGTTGCCACTTTTTTTTAGGTCATGTAATATTATAACTTCGTTTAATTATTTGTTTGTTTAAAAGTAATCATTCTCACTTCCGTAACAAATAAATTGATACTATTTAGTAGTAAATTATATTACAAACAAATACTACATTCAAAAAAAAATTCATTTTAATACATTATAATTTTTATAATTTTTAAAAATTAATTTTAAAAATTATTTATAATTTTTGTCTCTTTATAAACATTTTTACAATTAAATATAACATTAATAAAAAATATTTTATATTACTTTAATAACTAGGGGCCTTTTGGTAATCTTTAATTTCTACCAATCAAACTAATTTTTTAAATCTATCACATCAATCAAATCCTACACTAATTCTCTCAAACTTTACTTCCAAATCCACTCTCAATTACCCACAAATCCACTCAAAAATACAACTACAAAATTACCCTCAAATCCACTCAAATCCATTCAAATCATCTCCCCCAAATACACCCAAAAGAACAAAGCCTAAATGATAAAACTTTGACTCAAAAAGTAATCTCAACAAGTATCAATTTCATCACCATTTTATAGTTAATGATAGTTAATTTTTGTGTCCAAATATTAAAATTTAAATTACTTCATTTAAATAAATATTTAAAAATGAAAAAATATAAAAAATAAATACCATTCAAATTAAATCCATTTGTTTTTTTTTCAGAAAAATAGTGAAATTGTTGAAGCTATGATTATTGATTCGTGTATAGAACAACTAAGGGGACTAATTCTTAACCCTTTTAAAATTTCGTCAAATGAATAATATCAAATAGTTTTTTTTTTCTCTTTTCTTTTGTAGGAAATTCCTCTATACTGGTCCACCATTCTATGTACAGATATCTTCACTTATATTGTACAGGTGTCAATGAGTGGTTTGCCCAATCCACCAGATATCTTCATATTTTTTAAATTCTAGGAGAATTTTTGAGCGACCCAAATGAAAAGATATTAGTTAAGGAAAAAGAACTATTATGAACATTTTCACTATATACGTTAAAATGTACTAACTCGCTACTTTAAGTTCGACAACTTAACCTGTTTAAAAAAAATTTGAGTTGAATTGACGGTTAATTGAAAATAAATTAAAATTTATAATGTCAAAGTTTTTATACTGTCGTACTGATCCACCAGTTTTAATTTTTTTTAGTCATCAAATTTAATATACATAAAAGTAGACTATTGAGCTACAGAATATTTGAAATTTTAGACTGTATTAATGAAGTTTGTTAATATAAAATATTGCAGCCTAAATTTTAATATTTTTTAATTATACCAAATCATTAAGCTAATTTAACTTAATTTACTTACTCGTCAATCGAATTATCGGACTTGACGAACCGAATTAGTCAAATTAACCTATAATTTTTTTACCGTGTAGGCTGACTCACGAGGTTGTCCTTTTTCTCATCGTTAAGGCCTTGTTCACTTGAATGGATTTGGGGAAGAGTAATTGAGAGAATTTGAGAGAATTTGAAGATAAACTTTTTTTGTTGTTTATTTGAGTGAATTTAGAAATAAATAAAAATGAATTTAGAATAAATCTTTTTAATCTGTCACGTCAATCAAATTCTACATTAATTTTTACAAACTTTGGCATGCTCATTGAATAATTAAATGTATAAGACTATATCAGTATATTAACGGAAATAACAAATACGTAAAAGAAAATGTGGCTCTCGTAGGACCACACGGCCCCTTCTCCAATTTCCCTTTCTCAAAATATAATTCCTCATTTTTTTTTTCAAAATTAATATTATCCGTCTCCCCACAAATAATTATTATCTTTCAAAAATAAAAAGCAACAAGATACCACAAAAGGAAAAGGGAAAAGTACAGAAAAATTCCGGTGATAGATGTTACATCTATACAAACAAAATTATATATATATATATTGCTTAAAATTATCTTATTTTTAAAAAATATTAGTATGAGTATTTATATAATTCTAAATATACGAATTGTACTGTATATAGTCATCCAATCTAGTACTGAACAATTCACACAGTTAAGAATATCAAGACTATCACCTAAAAAACCAAGTGATTGTACATATAGATCAAATGATTATCTTTAAACAACTATTAGACTTAATGAAAATTAATTTATAGATCATCAGTAATCTAAAATTCATTCTAAAATTTACGAAATAATTTTAAAGTAAAAAGATAAATAATTATATTTATTATGTATCAATTATTAAACTATCTTTACTGATTTTGACCATCTTTTTGTAAATAATCTTAAAATTAAATCAACCAGTTTAAAAAACAAATAATAACAAAATTGAACATTAAGACACAAAACATAGAAACCTGTAACTAAAACACGAATTTTAATAAATAAAAAAAATCACGTGTATTCCAACACTATTTTTCAAGTTTTATTATGTAGAATAATATTAGTTCAAATGCTTTGAATACCAAATTAAATTCATTCTTATTTTTAGATTGTATACGAGAGTCGTCTTTTACTATTCCTAGTAACTCTTTTTTATTTGAAAAAACAAAAACCACTCTAACACACTTTATATATCACACTAATTTTTTAATTATTTTAAAATGTTAAATAGTATATTCATTTGTACAAGAGATATTGTTAAAATATTAAGTGTAATTACTAAAAAAAGGCACATATTTCACACCAATCACACGGAAACCGAAATTATGATTATTACTATTTTATTATTAAGGATCATACGAAGACAAGGATATGGATAGGTTTTAATATAATCACCATGTATTTAAAAAAAGAAAAAAAAAGAATGAAGAGGTTCAAATATATGGCATCTCAGAAATAGACTTGTAGTGGGACCCACGTGCGGATCAAGGTTATCCTCGAAACCAACTTGATGTGGGACCCATCAGTTCCATTCAGATTGGTATGCATGAATAGGACTTGATAAAGCATGACGTGGCCTTTCAGTTACACCATATAAACTCTTGTGATCCTCTATTATTTACAGTTAATTTCCTCTTTTTTCACTTAAATCAATTCCATCCTCAACGTATATATCAATCTATCTGCAAATACTTGCCTTTCAGATGGATAAGTTAATAAATTTTCATTACGGTAAAATATTAATGTTTTTTCTATTTAATTAGTTAAGTAAAGAAGATAAACATGTAGCTGATTAACAATATATTCGTCCCTTATTCGTGTTAAATAATAAAGAAGGATGAGAGATGCGTGCATGTGTGTTTTTTATGCTTTGACAACTAAACCAACCAAAACGGAAGATATTATTACACTCGTGAAATGCATGGCTTAATTACTTAAAAATGAAAAAAAAAATGTAGTTAGATAAAATTAAGCATAGGCTGGGGGACCAAATAACGAGAAAATACGTATTGTTTTGTTTGCTTTCTTTGAGCATTGGAACTCTTTCAAAATCTTTTGAAGATATGGAATGCAAATATTGTTACGTAACTTACGGTGTGTGTTACACATATGTACTATGTACACGGATGAATTTGTGACTAAATAATTATTTGTTTGGGCAGATGAGTAATTCTCTTTGTCACATCTAATTCCCATTCCAAACAGTTATGGGACATTTTGTGAAGCCATTATAGAAAAATCTTCATTTTATTTAAGTCAAAAAGGCTAATCCTTTAGGTGTGCCCTCTGCTAACCCTTTTATTTTTGGCAAACTCTTTGTATTAAGATTTCAAAATTATCAAGTCATATTCGTAGATGATAACAAGTGTTTGACTTCAAGATGCATCTCACCACCAATTTTTCAATTGTTGAGTTGCGTATCTAAGTATCTTGTCCAAAAAAAACATTAAACACACTTATAATTAGAGGTGTTAAAATAATTATGTTCATTTTACACTTTAGCCCCAAATGCAGTTTCGACCTTACGCTAAAATAATTGGTGTTATAAATTTACAATGTAGTATTATATGTTTCAATAATTTACCCTCATAAATTCGATTAGTATCGATAGAATGATTGAAGTAAATGATACGAAGTACGCAAGTGAGGGAACACGATGGCGCAGTGAGAAAAATCCCTATAAATAAGGGACAAATGTCACCACGAATAGGCTTGAAGGCGCTTCTCCAAACTTCAAAGCACCTTCGTTCTTACCATCTTCTCTCTTCGTCTTTTTTCCACTTTATTCCCCACACACTACAAATATGTTCAGATCAGCTCAAACCGCTTCAAAACCTTCCAAATCCACCATCAAATTCCTCTGCAGTTACGGTGGCAGAATCCTCCCTCGTTACCCTGACGGCAAGCTCCGCTACCTCGGAGGCCACACCCGCGTCCTCGCCGTCGACCGCTCTATTACCTTCTCCGGTCAGTTCTCTCTCTCTCAGTTGCAGTCTCACTCACTCAGTCTATTTTCCGTTCACCAAAACCTTATACTTCAAACGACGATCTCGTTTGCGTTTCATGATAAATAACCATAATCGCTTGTTTTGCAGAGCTGCTGCTGAAGCTGGAAGAGCTCTGCGGTGCCTCCGTGAGGCACCTCCGCTGCCAATTACCCTCCGAAGACCTCGACGCTCTTATCTCCATCACCTCCGACGAAGATCTCGCCAATCTCATCGAGGAATACGACCGCGTTTCATCGCTCAAGATCAGAGCCTTCCTCTCGCCGCCCACGCCGTCGAGATCTCCGAACAACGCTTCCATTCCTCCCTCGAAGTCGGCTTCATTATCTTCCTCCTCAGCCTCATCGTCGTCGTCATCTTCGTCGTATTGCAGCCTTACCGGCAAATCTGGTCGGAGTTACAGAACCTCGGCGACGGTGGTCGACCGTTGCGTCCATCAGATGTCGCCGGCTCCGGCGTACCGGACCGCAGTGGACAAATCCAAACCATCCGGGAGGAATATTCCTCTCCCGCGCTACGGTTACCACGGGAGCGGTGGCCAGGTTTACCTGATCCACCACGGAAACCACTGGCAATAACATTAAGGTGTGGTTTGGAAAGAATATTGAAATGGATGGACTAAGATAACGAAGCAGGTGCTATTTTAAAATGAAAATGATAAAAAAGGACTTTTACAATGATATAGAATATAATTAAACGAAGATAAAAAAGAAGACGAAGGAGAATGAAACGGGGAAAGGAAAGGAAAGAGTCCTGTATATGTGTGATGTAAAGTTGGACTGTAAAAATCGCTGGCAAGGGTTGCGGTTTTAGCTTGTGATCCTTGATTGCCCATTAATGAATTTCACTCCAATTTCGTGTTTCGTTTCGCTCCGTTTTTCTAATGATGGTGAGTTCGTTGGTCCTTTTCTTTTTCCGTGTTTCCTTTTTTTCGTTTTCTGGGTTCATTTCATCAAATTCTTCTAATTTATTTGTTCTGTGATTTCATTAAGGACCCATTAATCTGTGTTCACTTTCTCTATGGTCTTACGCTCAATCTGTGTCGTTACTAACTTTTTGGCTTGATTTCAATTGTTTTTACAGATTTTAATTTTTTACCTTATTATGAGAGTATGATTTTGTATTGATTAATGCTTTAACATTTCTGTTTGCAGGTTTAACTGAAGATTGGAAGAAAATCTTACTTGTACATGATGGCTTTTGGCGCGTTTCAATTGTAAGTTTCTTTTACCCTAAGTACATTTAGGAGAGATGATGTCTAGAAAAATACAATCACTTACAATTTAATATAATATTCTAATCATATTATGTTTTATATTTTAAGATACATTATTACAGAATAGATTCTAAAGTAAATATATTGTCTTATATGATTCAAAATAATTTTTTTCTAAATTTGGCCACGCTCTTCAATGGCAATGTAGCTGTCATCACCATTATTATATTTAATTGGTTGGCAATTATCCTTTGTTGATTTTGAGAAAACAAATTATTCTGATTCCATTGTCACTTATGAAATTATCTTTATACAGTTCTGGAAAATGCACTCTCGAAATAAAGTTATTTGCTTTGTTCTGGAACCGATGCAAAACCTACCTAGCTAAGATAAATTAGTATAGTGTCTATTGTCTGCATAGATGGGTCTCTTGTCATATTTCATTTCTTTTGAGTAACTAATGTTGATGTTCAAATTCAGTTATGTGTTCTGGCCGTTTCAAAGAGTGGACTATGCAATGGACACGACGTGATGGATTCATATGAACACGATTAAGGTTGGCAACTCAGTGTTAGAAACCCGTAGATAGCATGGGGGACCAGACTCCATTTAAAGATAAATAAACTTATCATAATAAAAAATTTAAACCATCTCATGACAACTGGCTCATGCATGTTCAAAGAACTAGAACTCATAAGATGAGAATATATGGCACAAAACTACAAATTGATGGAGCCAACATAAAATGAGAATATTTTCCTTTTCGAAAAAAAAAGAAAAAGTAAAATAAAAGAGCAAGAGAGAGAAAAAACTAAGAATAGGTTCATCCTTTCAGCAATGCAAGATTGCAGATTTTAGAAAGAAGATTTTGTGTTGGAAATACAAGGACCTCCACTCATGTAACATTCAAAGGGAAGATTCCTCTCGCTTTCTTAGTTTTGGAAGAGATTTGAGAGATATTTCACCACCCAATTACCCGAAATGAGTTTATTAGTTTATTTAGTAATGAAAACATGACAAAAAGAAGCATGGTGTGTTATCTTCCTGAAGACATACTGAGGATAATCTACCCCACCATGTGCCACTATATAGTCTCTTCTTTTACATCAGTAAAATAATGCAAGCAGAGTAAAAGGAAATTCACACCTATAAAGAGAAAAATATTGAGAGAAGAAGCATTAGATATGGTATATTATGTAAAAATACGTCTTAAAAGAGAACGAATTCAGTGATTTTTTTTATATCGAATTACATTTTGTTTGTTTAAAAATATAAAAAATATTGAATATGAATATTAAGTGTTTGAAAGGATATGAGATAGCGTGAGTGCGGGGAAGTGACGGAGTCATGGATGTCGATCTCTTGAGTTGAGACAGAAGCCTTGTCCGCTGAGTTCGGTGGAAAATTTCTGACATTGTAAGGTTATTGTTCCAAGACAAGCAAACATCAAGATAATAGTCGGTGAAAGAAACGCCAAAGAAAAACCAGATACCAAGGATAATACGAAACTGTTTAGGAACATATTACATGGATCGAATTTAATTACCCTATGCCAATTGACAATTATTATTTTTATCATATTTATAATTTTTTAAATAAAATTACTGAAATAGAAACAGAAAAGCGAGTCGTTATTTGGTTTCATTCATTTTATAAAATATTATTTTAAGTATTGTATGTTATAAAAACTTATATTATTGAAATATTTTGAGTTCAAATATAATGAAATAACTACTTAATTAAAAATATTAAGAAAAAAATCCATGTTAGCTACTTAGGTATTAAAAAATGTAAGAACATACCACCTTATCACTAAATCCACTAGGAATTTATCTCATTATTCCATATCACATTAAAGAATAAGATGACAGCATGAGAAATAGTCAAACACTAAATGTTTGTATAAAAGTTTTTTTTATATTAATAGAGTAGATAAACTTCATTCCTAACTAATATAAATATTCATTCTACATGAGAAATAGCGAAAAGTATTGTTATTGTATGTTTAAAATATCTCGTTGTAATAATCTCTTGAGAGTAGTTCTTGTAATCTGCTTATCCGGTAATGATTAATTAGGACTCTAATACTAAAATAAATAGATTATCTATTGTATATATCTAATATATAACGTACTTAAAATGATTTCACTTTATATAACTCTGTGAATGAAAGCTCTTATTCCAAAATTGAATTTAACACTCATCTAAATTAGATTAGTCCCTTACTTTTACATGCTGGATAATCATTTATAAGTATGTTTTGTTTTTGGTTTTTACTTTTACATGCTGGATAATCAATTATAGGTATATTTTGTTTTTGGTTTTCAAAATTGAAATAATTATTGTAGCATGTTGCATAAAAATTAGGCTTAATACCTCTTTTGGTCCCTCTTTAAGGGGACAATGTTCAAGTCCGTCTTACCTTTTTTAAAAAGTTCAATGTAGTCCCAACTTGTGAAAAAAATGTACAATTAAATCCTTTTTGGTCACGGCGTTAAATACTTAACTATGAAACTGCTCTTCTGGACTAAATTTGATGAGTTGTTCATTTTTTCTCTTACGTGGCATGGTGACGTGTCAATTTTGAATTTAAAAAAAAAAATTGCTTGACACATCATCTTCTTCTTCCACCTCCACCAATCCTGAATTTAGGGTTTCTTCTCTCACATCCTTGGAGAGGTACCTGAGGTCCTCTGGCAAACCATTTGCAGTGAGGATTTTCTTCTTGCCAATTCTGTCAGGACCCATAAACAGTACCTGATTTTCTTCTTGCCTCTGATTTGAGTTCAATATCTGATTTCTCAGTTTCTTTCAACATTTGTGCTACTTCTCGCTCGCAGTTCTACATACATTGCGGGCAACAAATTGATACATCATCAGGATCTACGTTCTCAGAGCCACGCCTCAATGGAGAGATCGTTGTAGTTGGCAAGGTCTTTAACGGGGATAAAGGCCGGTGAAATAAAATCGAGAAAAGAACAGAAACAAAACAAAGTTAACATATCAGATAAGATTCATTTACCAACTACAATCCCAAGTTTAATCAATTCCATGAAAGAAAATGCTTTATCTCCATTCCATTAAACACGAAACACTAATCTTTATCATTTAATCTGATCTTGCTATGGAATAACCAGGGAAATAAAATTTTGGAGAGAGATAATCGGAGTTGGAATAGAAATGGAGGTGGAAGCCAGAAGAATCGGAGTGGGAGGGAGAGGCGTGCTTGGAAAGCTGGTGGGTTTTGTGGGGAGGAGAGGGAGAGGGGGAGGAAGAAGGAACCCTAAATTCACGGTTGGTGGAGGTGGAAGATGAACCTGATGTGGACTTTAATGAAAATCACAAGTTTATCCCTTATGCAGTCACGTTACGAACGTAAACAGCCACGTTGCACACATCAGTCAACGCTGTCAACTAGATCGTTAAATATTTAAGGCCGTGACCAAAAAGGATTTAATTGAACACTTTTTACACAACTTGAGACCACATTGAACTTTTTGAAAAAGGTGAGACGAAATTGAACATTTCCCTTATAAAGAGGGACAAAAAGAGGTATTAAGCCTAAAAATTAAAATGCTCTTAACAATGACGAGAAGAACTTTAACACTGATTTTTTTTGTTATTATATTTTGATTTTATAATCGAAATATTGAAAAGAGAGAGTTTAAACTTTTATTCTTAATTGAAGTCAATATCTTAGGAATAAACTTCGGTTTGTAAGACAATCTAAACATAAAATAATTAAAAATTAAATTAATAAGTTTTGATCAAACGCGAACAAAAACAAGATTTAAAGCGAGAGTAAGAACGAGAGATCAAGATCAATCACTCAAATACGAATTAAAAACAATTAATGTTATGGTATTTAACACAATAGATGAAGATCAACTCGAACTTGTAATATTATGACACCCTAATGCGAAAGGATGATAATGATCACCAAAATGCAATGACCAATACTAAAACAAAAAGAAAAACGTTAAGAGAAGGAAAAGAAAAACAAAAATTAAAAGATGAGATAAACGGAAAATAAGAAGAAAAATAAACAATAACAATAATAAAGACAAAAACAAACCTCAATAAAAACTATAATAAAAAAAATGTAAAATTACATCAACGAATAAAAATAATATAAAACTATGTATCGTAAAAATTCACAAATTTATCTTACTAATATTTTGACGCGTGCAAACAAATTTTTTTTAACACATTTGAATTTTTTTTTCATACTAATTTGATGAATATGATTTAAAATAAGAGACATTAACTTAATCAGGTTTAATGTAATAGACATAGTGTATTGTAATTTTAAATGAAGTATTGTTTTCAATATTTTAATATTTATTTTATTTTTAGTTTATTAATTAATGATGTCAGTATTAAATTATTTATTTATTGTTTTCTATAATCTTTTTAATTTTGTCATTATTATATTAATAACATTATGTTATTTTATTATTATTAAATATTATTATTTATTATAATATATTATTATATTGTTAAGAGAGGACAAATATTTTAGACTATTTCGTTATTAGAATTTATTCTCATCTTAAAATCTTAGATGTGAAATCTTTTGAAGATTGGTAATATGTTAAAGTTGTTCAAATATATTGAAAAAGTCCATAAAAAAGCCTTCATTTTGCATTTTTTTTAATTTTAAATGCAAATTTTGTTAGCATATTTTACACCATTTTGTAATTTCAAATTTAAAATTCAAACTTAATTATTATATATTTTAAACTTTAAATCTCTCTTTGAAAATATGAATCTTAATTTAAAAAAAAGAATGAAACTGAAATGCTTAGTTACTTTTTTATCTTCAAAAGTTTAAAGGATTTATAATTTTCACTATTTTAATAATACACTATGTTATTGAAATTATTAACTTGACATAATTGCATTTCCATTTGAGATGAAGTATTATTTTTAAAGATTTATTATTTAGTTTATTAACAATGTTATTATTCACTTATTTATTAATTTTTTATATAATTTTTTAATTTTTATTATTATATTAGTATTATTATGTTATTATATTATTATATATTTACTAAATATTATTACATGTTAAAATAAATTATTAATTATTGACAGCCATTAAATTTATTGAATTCTTTATCTTTGAGATCTTATTCATATCTTAAATACGAACTTAAAAATATGTTAAAGTTATTGAAGAAAATTAAAATGGTCATTAAAAAGACATGAAAATGATGTGACTATATTTTGAAAGGTTTTGTTTTTTTAAAATCAAAAGCTAAAGTTAAATATTTTTTTTGCATTGCGAATTATGATTGTAAATTCTAATATTATGAGAATTTTGATGGGATATATGGGTGTAATGAGGCGGGTCCATTTTATTCTTAAGAAATGAAAGATTCCTCTATCTTTTTATCAGCAACAAATATCTTGCGAGTTGCGAGTGGGTTTTGGTTTGTGGTTGTTTTTTCACCTGGTCTCTACTAAGATTCCCTTCGGTTTTTGTCTCTACTAGGAATCAAATCTTCTCCAAAATACTTTTCACACCACTAAAATGCATTCTTCATTTGCACCAAAAACATTAATATTCTTATAACATGGAAGGACCTAAAATAACAAAATCAAATATATTACTGTTTTAATTATATTTTTGTACTAATATATGTATTTTTATCTCTATTTTTATATCGATTTTTGTTTCGTCTAATTGGATAACATGTCTATACACTTTTTTTATTGTTTTAATATTAATTAATTTTATAAAAAATAAAAATTACAACAAATGAAATATAAGAAGATGGTTATCATTAAAAACATGCACTACTAATAAGGTGTTTTTGAATAATATACATTTAAGCCAAATTGAATGAATTAGGAGAGATATTTTATATATTTGGTAATTAAAATGTAGAACGTGAATGTGAGTCAAATTAATGCAAGATGGTCTTTTTTAGAAAGAAAACTCAATTATATGCATGAACTAAAATGAATTGAAACATTATTTTCTACACATACTTATTTTTTCTGGTGAGTAAAAATCATTTATTTGAAAACTCAATCGATTTAGTGGTGGAGTGACTATTTGTTTGTTATGTGAAATTCAATTAAGTATAAACATGAAAGTTTTGTAATTTAAACTAGCATACCCAATATTGTCAAACTCGAAGGTTTAAGTAAATTAGTGAAAATTCCGTAAACTCGATTCGTAAACTCGTTGTCTATAAAAAAAATTATAAATAACATATTTATTCAA